GCTAAGCTCATTTTTCACTGCCCATTTAACGCAGCATGTGATAAAGATTTTTCTAGACTCCAATAAGTTTTTTTTCTCGCTATGAAGTTTTCATTGTTTCTTTTACTTGTTTTTGCTGCTAGTCCCACGCCTAAGCATCCCCTTTTTTGGAGCCTAGAACCGGTTAGTAAATTACCCGGGATATTTCAAAAAAAGGAGAAATCCCTATTCGAACTTCGAGTCAAAAACTAAAGTATCCTACATTGTATAAAAGTGTTCGACTACCCGGTTGAATGATGGCATTACATAAACTGGGCAGGTAAATTTCGAGCAGTATTACACTTCGCTCTTGACAGCTGGACTGATAACCGTTAAACAACCGATGCATGAATAACATTTGCAAGTGTACCATCAGAACCAACGAGAAACAATACGACCGAGCTTCAGGGGCTTCTAGTTATCAAGCTAGTTAGATTAAGATTATCAAAACAGTAAGAATTATTGGATTTTCATTTATTCATTAAATTAATATGAGATATCTGTAATCAGATAAATATTTGATGTGAAACAGACAACGACTACTGATCTCTACGTAGGGAATAGTAGTAGTATGTGACACTTCAGTCATCTTTCTCATGTTTAAAAATGAAATATAAGGGGATAAAAAGAAACAAAAACATAAGAAACTGATATCAAAAAGGATGAATGAGATGTAAACAAACTAATTAAGAACTCAGACAAGACACGAGGTTTATCACTACTGTTATTATTATTATTCTCATTTTAAGGGATAATAATTTAATCCCTTTTTGTTTTTTGATGGCTACGCCCTGGTACCATCTTTCCCCGTTACTTGATGTTGTTGTTGTTGTTGTCTTGTTGTTGTTGTTGTTGGTTGTATCTAATTGTTTTGTTTAGCTCTTACTGTTCTCCTGTCTGTGTTGTGCGTTTATGTGTATGCATGTATGGAATGCATGAATGTGAAGTGTAGTGGAAGGATATTCTCGATAATTCCTTGCATGTATCATTATCTTTAAGTATGCAGTATGCATCAACGTACATCATACTTACTAGTACTAGTATTCATCACTTTGTCATTAGTCTTTAAGAGTAGGAATAGGAGTGGGCGGGGGGCGGGGGCGGGAGGAAGAAGGAGTAGTGTCAAGGTTGGTGGTAGTGTTGGTCGTCATCATAGCATCATCACCATATCATAGGTCAATCACAATTAAGCCCAGTCTGTGTTTATATACAGTGTGACCTAAGCAAGAATATTCAGCAAATAAACTAGATTTATATGTGCTTACAGTCTAGTGATACAATGATACTAGATTTAGTACTCAAATCTCTCTGAAGTAGCTATCTTAAGTGGTATAGGTAAGCTAGAGATTTATGTAAAGAAACAAACAACTTAAATGGACCATTTCAAATACTCACCTTTACACACACACACACACACACACACACACAGACATACACGTACGCCATGAGTGGACAATCAGAGCTTTTAAAGGAATGATAAAGTGTATACGCTGAGCCTAAAACAACACTCTTCTTTCAGTATGTGTATGTGTGTGTCTTTCTGAAATAAATCAACCTTTTACATAATCATGTTTTCTATTTTCCACAACAATTACCTTCTCAACCAAGTAATCTTAATTCATTTAACTGGTTTCTTGTGTGGTATTACGTAATCTGCCTCCCGGATATTGCTAGATATGTGGTATTTTGTTTTTAAGCCGTATAATCTCCTAACAGACGTATTACAATTAACTACTTTTATTCCCCTTACGTCGGTTGTATGCTTGCTAGACACGCGCACACTTGGTCAGGGGTTCAATCTCCAGTCAACGCACTACTATACCTCCTATTGATCGAAAGTAAACCCAGTACCTGGGGAAAGTTGGGTGTAAAAATTAAATGCAAAATGCTACAGAATCTTCAAAGCTCAAGCTGAAGGCATAATGTTCCTCTGGGAAAGCGAATGAAATAAAATGTTAGAATAAAAGTGTTTGGTTCTATGCTAGCTGTGATGTTTACGTGACTATATTGTGCTGTTGATTGTCTAGGTGGCCTATGATCTTCATGTCTGACTTCTGCTGAGCAGACATTTTTTTAAAAGAAGTATGCTCTAATTTCATTAATCCTGTATATGTATTTAAGGCTGCCTAGGGCTGAAAAGAACACCTCGGAAAGCGTCAACATAACTGACTAGTTAAAGTCACATTTCCACTGGATATTCTGACTTTATGTTCATGAATTATCTTTGAGTTTGTTTAAAGGTAACAGATTTGTATAGTGTACAAAATGGTTAAAACTGCAGGAAATGTGATGTACTATTTGCAAGCAGTTAATCCCATTCCCTTGGAGTTGACTTACGACTGATTTATGTCGATAACCTTAAGACATTTAACTGTAGTCTGTTGTGTAACACCAATTCTGGTTGTTCACTGAAGAACAGAGCATTGTGTAGGTCACAAGTATTCACTTCAACTAGAAATAATTTAATCGGATAATACTTAGTGTTTTCACTGTTTGAGATATCCATTTTACCAACACTATGATTCTCATAAACAGATGAATATTGAAAAGCAACAGTTACCCTCAAAAAATCCAAGTAACAAGTGTAAAAGATATGAAGGCTCAATTGCTAAACAAATCACAGCGGGAGAGAAGTCTATCTTCATACAATTCGATTATAAAGATGACAATATTGTAGGAATAGTCAATAGCCAGAACCTACACTGCAGTTGAGTTGGTTCCCGTTTATCGGACAACATGCTCTTATTTGGTGTAATCTGAAGTCGATATATACCCTTCTTATGTTAACTCTTACTGTTTATACAAATTTACACGTATCTGTGGAAGCAGTTACATTGGAAGAAGGGAAAGAAGGGCATACACCTCCAATTTTCTGAACACGTAGCAAAAAGTCAACGTCTCAAGGGAACAAATACTTATAATAGTGTCATTGTCAGACATCTCATCAATACAGGTCATGCGGTGAACATTGCGAAATCCTTTTAAATTATCAATAGACAAAATAGTTCTATACTCCTCAAGTTTACTAAAGTAATTGCTATCAAATGCCTGTGTTCAGTCTTTCCTTGCCCTGGTAATTGGATGTTTTTACTCTCTCATTCGATTACGTAGTCTTTGGCTTTAACCTCCCTCCGCTTTGATATAGTTTGACTTTGTTTGTTTCTTGTTTCTATGATTTGACTTGAACTCACCACACACTTACTCAGCACCTTATTCGCCTCTTGTCTTCATTACATAACTCCTTTGCGATTGTATGCAAACATTTATTTTTGTTTAGACTTGAGTGAAATTTTCTAAGCACTGTTTATTAACTCCATTATAGATAAGATTTTATTTTGATAAGTCACACAATGTTACACAGTAATATTAACTGATGACGTTTCGAGAAAAGCTCAGTAGAAAAAAGGTCAGCAATTGCACTTCACGCATTAACACACAATCACACAATAGGATGGGAGAGGGTTAAGATTCTAAGAAGTAATCTACGTAGATGGAGAGAGAGATTGGTTACTGAATCCTGGTTCATTGAGTCTACACCCAACACATGCAACAGAAATGACTCAACGCAAACACCAGAAATATGGAAGATATTATAACCACCAGTCAGTCAAATCAGAGGAGGGTAATAAATAAGCAAAAAATTCTATTTCAATTCACGTACATCACAACAAGTTACATCTAACAAGTTACTTATTATGCCTATAAAAACACTCGTCTTATTTCCCATCTGATTGTAATTGATAAATAACACTCATATTATTATTTCTGAATGTACATTATCTCATACTGATTTTTATTCAAATATCTGGTCAATTCCACACATGTATATAAATGAAGTAAAAAGTTGTGTGAGTAACTTGATATGATTATGAGCAATAGTTTGTGCTCGAAACGTCATCAGTAAATATTACTGTATAACACTGTGTGACTTATCAAAATAAAATCTTATCTATAATGGAGTTATACTCTACTAAAGTGCCCAAGTTTTATACTTACATCAATAACACTGTTTATTAAGTTTGCAGCCTCCTGTCAACTCACATCATGTAACATTTGGAAGCTGTACGCAGTTGATGAGAAGTCAACGAAATAAATGATGATACCATCTCGGTCTGTACAAAATGTTCTTGCTTCTTTATTCATAAAAAGTATATGTTAATGTTTAACTATCCCCTATTCAGTCACTATATTTGCCTATTTCTAATCATTGATGACCGAATCATTACTATTATTAAGTGAAGTTAGCTATTTGAAATTTACACAGTCTACAAGCATGACACAACGTACTACTGACTGATTAAAATCAGTAGTCAGATACCACCATTCAATGTCCGTAAACGGGAGAAACGACCGTCCGGATTGGTATCCAACTACTCAAATAAGCTAATCAGTAGTACTTTGTATAATGCATTTATTATTATTATCATTACCATATAACTTAATATATAAACATATTTCTGACATTAATTCCATAAGTGAATATTCTTTTATCTAAACAGGCAGTATTTTCGTGATTCAGTCGTTCTGCCACAAGATGACTACAAAATCACACTTGGGAACTGTCGTACTATGAGATCCTATAATACATTTGTTCAGTGGAAGTATCACTGTTGTTCTCTTCATATGCCGTAACTTCTTGTCTGGGATATTCGTACAATCTGATCGTCCATTATAGTCAACCTGTGACACTGCACTTGATTCGACAGTCGCATAGAATATTTCTGTGTTGAATGACCTGAAAACAAACAAACAAATAGACAGACAAACAAGCAAATAAACAAATAGACAAGCAAACACACGTCACTGGTGTTTTTCTCTCCTACCCTACCCTAGGCCATAAATTCCATCCCTTTCTTATTCGTCTAGTCTAAAATAAATAAAATTGCACCTTCCAGTCACGTTGTTTCTATGCCTTAACCAATCAGCTTTCAGTATTTAACTTGTTTAGCTTCTATTTGAGATTGGTCGGTAATTCAATGCGGCTGACGTACTCAGTCAAAAATTAGAATACATGACACTGTGTTTTGTATATGGGGAATAGACCTTCGAGTAAAATTTATCCGTATTACTTCTTCCCTGAAATTAATCGACAGGCAGACATATATACAGGTAGCATATTGTGAGCCACGTGTTAATAAGTCTCACAGTCGAACTCATCTATACCCAGACGTGTGAGAGATACGATCACAAATCACACACACACGAGTTAATCTACACAGCCCCTGTCTACCACTAGTACTACTGCTACTACTACTATTGCTACAAATAATCATAGTAATAATAATAATAACAGTCACATAAGCAGCGTGTCAAGGTGATTTCTACTATCATACATACACACACACACAAATAGAGACATACACACAACTCTGTGGGGCACAAAAACATATCACTGGTGTTTTGCCTTCTGCCTCTAGGCCTCCCATCTGTCACTATATAAATTGGTGGATCACACATTTTATGCCTCATTTTGCTGTATGATACAGTTCGACGTGTAAATTATTATCTCTCTTGAGTGATTTATCACTTAGAGAAGAAAAATTGTCACACCCATATTATTCATACAATATAATAATATTTCGAAGAAAACTTGATGTTATAAAAAGCTTCATTGCATTCCATTTTTACAAAATTCATTAAAATATTATCGCCGTTGTGCTTTCAAATCAATTACAACAGAAAAACAAAACATCCTCTCTCCCTACACCTTTTTTGTTGTTGTTGCCTACTTGAACATTAATAACAACAGCGAAGAAAAAAAAGAAGAAGAAGTATACACAAAGAAGAATGTGGATGCAAGATTGTGATCAGTGTGCTTCAGCTAAATTAGGAGGTCTACAAGTGTGGATGCAACACTTAACAGATGAACATGCTATACCAACTGAATGGCCAAGTGATCGAGCCGCTAAACTAACCGGTACCAATGCTCTACGACCGTATACAACCATTGCTGAATCAAAAAAGAAACGAAGAAAAGACAGTATTCCAAGACCACTGAACAGTTTCATGGTAAGTAACTGTGCATCATCTCATATTTTACTCTATGCTTAGTGTAGTCAAATGTTATCCTTTCTCATGCTGAGGGTTTTCATCATGAAAACACTTTTTTGTTTGTTTTGAATTATTGTAAATATCACTAGGGTTAACGGTTGTTATTGGCCTAGATGTACACTGTTCACCTGACCTGTATGTAGACTCCGTGTATATATGCATCATCTGTATAACACTATGGGGTTTATTTTCACTTAGGATGGACATGAGTTTACAGGGTGTTGTTGTTAAAATTCTAGTGCTAGGCATAGAATAGAAATATTTGTGCACACATTACAATTATGGCCAGTGAATCAGTCTAAGCATCGTCAAGTTTTCTTTTTGAAACGTTAGCAATCGTCTTTCAACTTATCTTAGTTTTAAGAGATGTTTAGCGATGTTTATCACTGTCACAATGGTCACACCTTAGTGACACTTTTTTTTAAATATTGAAAGCATCCGGACATTCTATTTTTGTGCATTCAACTAACTTATTTGCATATATATAATATTATATATATGTGTAATTAATTCCGCTTGTCAACAAGACTAAGTTCTTTACGTAATCACTAATATTTTCTAAACCACACTATAGAGTGTCAACAACAACAACAACACAAATACATGCGAATGATACATTTGTCTTGTGAACAGTGTTCTTTTTTTAAAATATTTATGTTGAACGACAATGTCGGATACAGCGAAGTGTTTATAATCATAGTTTTAATGAGCGCTTATGTGAAACGTTCGCACACACTTCTTAGAGAAGTCTCCTTCATACTAGTTGACATTAGTTAATATACATTTATAGTTGTGTGTTTTTGTTTTTTTCATTCGAAATGGTAAACTGACTTTATCCACTGTAGAGAAATAAATGATTATACCTTCTGATCTGATAACTTGAACTCATATTGATTAGAGTCTTTCTCGTTAGGTCTACTTTCCATGTAACCGAACAAGCTGTTAACATAGTCACATCTATAGTATAAAAAGTATGGTGTAAACAGTTCGGACTGTCTTCTCGTGGTCTAAGTATCTGTCATTCGACATGTTGAAAGCCTCCTATGCAGGAAGAAGTTAGTAGGATAGAGAAACAAGATTGATGAGGGGAGAGATTGTGTTTATTAGGATGAATTACAATCAGTAGATGCATCGAATGTGAAAATTTTGTGAAAATTTCACTATTTTCCGAATTATATATTGGACTTTTCAGTTCCCCTGAAAAATTTATTGAAACAACAGCCTTAGGTGTTGTAGACGAATTGTTACTACTTTTCTTAAAAGCGTCACCAAGATTGTTACTTGCTAAAAGTGACACAGCATTACTGTGTGTCATATAAAGAGCGAATAATACGTGGTTTTCCTAATTCTATTTCCAAGTACTTACAGTGATTAGGATAATTTATCGATGATGACCTTTACCATAAAAATGTCATCCAATTTTGTCACGTTTACTGAAGTATAATGACATCATATCAAGTTTCATGAACATTGGTATGTCATGGCAACACTATAAAAACAAAACAAAAAGAAAAGCTGTAGTGATAGGATTTTCTTAGATTGTGTGTCATTTTAAAACCTTACTTAATTGTGTGAAACACAGAGTTGAATTCACACATATCGGTAAGACTTAGCAACCAAAAACTAGCTTCCATGCCATCGGTCAAAGGTAAATACGCTTGTACGCTTGTGAGTAGTGGTTACAAGCGTCTGTCATTTTCGCCTGAATTTGATTACTGTCCAATTAAACATACATTTGCTAATACTTCCAAATTATTAAGTCATAAGCATCATTGCCCCATTTTAGTAACAGTAAAACTAGCGAGTGCTTACTACTTAGATGCAGATATAAGAGTGAACAGGGTAGATTTTAGTCTAAAGGGGACCGAATCACGGGAATACAACTCCACTAATTCGAATATGGTTGTGAGCATCTTGCCTTGAGTGATTTTGCTCCAGAGATAGGCAATTCAGCAGCACGTAAAATGTGAACTGTTGTCATTACTTGTCAGTTGGTCATTTGCTGTTTTTATAGGATTATATTTCACTGTCAGTGCAGTAATCCCTAAGCCATATCTACCGTTCGGTAGTCTATATCTGGGAGTAGATGTTTTTCTAACTCAACTCTAAGGCGATGGATATAAACGTACTTCAAGTGATTATTTCCTTGTCTTTCACTCATGTTATCTTCTCTGATTATTATAACACAAGGGGTCCGCATAAATAGTTATGCGTTAGATTATTTCATTTGTGAATCCTCATGATGACAGTTAGATACTGATCAACCTGAAGTCACATCAGGTGGAGTATACTCATACACTCGACTGATGTCCTACCTTAAAGATGTAAATGTTTACCAAGAAGATGAATCCAACGTCTGATGAGTCTAGTCTATAACTTTTGTTTTCTATTTAAACTCAGCAATTCACCTATCGTGCTAGCTATTCTAAAATAATATGCGTTTTCCTCCTTCCTACGCTTGAATGCTTTACAATGTAGTTTCCCATGACATGCTAACCATATCAACTTTAGCCCTGTGTGAAAATAATTGAAGGTCTCCTGGAAGGTCTTCAATCACATTGAAGATGCTAACTAAAATATTGTTAAGTATACTGCTCTCTAAACAATCCTCCAATTCTTCGATGCTTGACTGCTTACCTTAAAATCCCTTATTCTCTCTCTCTCTCTCCCTCTTGTTTTTCTTTCACCTTTAAGAATTTGATGTGTAGAACTGATAGATTATTGGCCTTCTACACTCTTTCTTCAGATTACCTTTCAATCACCACAGCATCTTCATTGTAATCAGTGAGTGAGTGAGTTAGAGAGAGAGAGACAGAGGGGAAGGATTGACTGACTCTAACCCCTTTTGAGGAAAGGTTAATCGAAGTAATTTCGATTAGCTTAGATATCCCAAATCCATAGGCATCATCCCTTCTGTCTAGTCTCTATTGATTAGATGTGTATATATATGCATGTATGTATGTATGTATGTGTTTTGGGTATAGGTCAGGGGCATACAATGAGTCAGACACTTTTGGCTAGACGTGTTTATTTGTATTGACTAGTAGTAGTAGGCAGTCAGCCAGCCAACTGATCAAATACACGATCATAAACTTGTTTAAACAATCGTTTTATAGACCATAAAATAATGGTAATGGCAGCAGTAATAATAATAATAGTAATACTATTATTGTTAATAGTAATAGTAAGTAAATGAATGAATGCATGAATTTCACAAGTCAGTTGTTGTATAAATGTACCATTTTTGTGTTTACTAACCTTGTCTGGGATTTGATAAAGGTGCAGCATACATGAAAGGATAGGACTATAGTAGTTCATAGGTGGCCTATACGGACGGCTTCACCTTCAAACCTTTAGGTCATGGGTTCAAATAGTCACTCCACTTACTTTATATTTACCTTAGTGTACTGTAAGACCGTGTACATGTGTGTGTGTGTGTTTGAGAGAGAGAGAGAGGGAAGCAAAAAGCATAATCCTTAACTTTAAGGAGATAATATGCATCAGATAAGAGGTTCGTTCATAAAGGTTTATCATCACTAGTCAGCCGGCCATCACAGCGTAGAAATACACCGATTTCATTTGATTGACAACCACAACCACCGCACCACCACCAACAACAGAGTTTTCTCTTTGACTGTTTTCTTATTAGACGATAACTCCTCATTTCTAATAAGCGGAGATAATGATTTCAGGGAATCCAATTTCATACTGCAGAACATGTATTTGTTCATTCAAGTGCACATCTTACACTTGGGAAACTCTTCAAATGAACTGTCTACAGCAAGGCATAATTTTATTCCGGTCCATCCACTTCTAGATTACACCTTAGCATGAATGCTGCTTGTCTGTCATAGGTCAAGTGCCCATTCAAAGTTAAGGTATTCAACAGATATGCATAGATTTAAGCTCTAGCAAAAAAATGGAGTGAATCTGTTGATTGGGAGGCCAAGTGATTCTATCTCGTTACTCATACATACTTCACTAGACAGCAAGCACCAAGGAATGACTCATAAACCAAGTAGATCGAAAGTTGTGCTTAAGCCAGATTAAAGACAAGATGAATAATTCTAATAAGCTGTACTTACTGAATAATCTTGTAGATTCTTATTCTATGTCTTTTGCGTCTTTGGGATTATGCATGCATAGGCTTCAGAAGGCCAGCAAGTTATAACATGAAAATATATATCACCAATTTTTTGAATTATTTAAAGGATGTGTTCAATTTCCTGGCAAGTTGCTAGTGGTTCTTATGTCATTAAGGATCTTGACTGGACAACACAGTCCACTAAGTTGATTTGGCCACCTCCGTGTTTACTGGCACACATTTAGACGCAGTTGCGTCAAAACTTCATTTGGTGGAGTCTGTAGGCATAAACCTTTTGCAGGAATAATACCCAGAGAGCACATGTATTTCAGTGCTGGAAATAAGCAGGATGGCAATTTACGGAAGAATAGAGAAGTGGCTAACGTAGCATCTCTGTGAAATGGCGTCGTTTGAAGTAATGCATATTTCCCATAAAACTAAAATCCCATCATATGAGCCTACTTTTAAGTGAACAGTATACTTGTCAATGCATTTACAGGGTTGCTTTTCCCTTGGTGTTAACAAAGTGTTAAGTTTGATAATTCTTAATAAAGAGGGTATTTTCTTGTCAAACTCCACTGAACTTATAGTCACTGTCTAGGTTGTCTACCCGCTTCTGAAAGAAGAAATCGCTTCTCTCGGGATGACATTTTCTTCTACTGCTGCCTACCGATAATTAACTTTATTGATTTTAAGTGCTCCTGCTCCTGCCTGCTATTTACCGTACAGTTTTGATTGTTATCCAATACAGTTGTTTCAGAATATCAATCGTTATTAGATTTCCGTCACGAACCACCATCAGTTAGAGGGATCAGTTGTTTCGTCCCCCAGGATCCTGCCAGGGATCGAACTCAGAACCTTCAGGTTTTAAGATCAAGTTCGCTGATCATTCATAATAGTTGTCTATGAACACATTTATCGAACCGAGAAAACACTTAATAAGGGAACAATTTATTTACCAACGAATTGCCCTGTATCCTCGATTTTTGTCAGTCGATAGGCTGTTTATTACTCAGGATTTATTGTCCAATGTGTTTTTCACAATCCCCCCCATGTCTTTTTATCTACAAAACGCGTAACACAGGGACTAGATAAAGAAATCGTTCTAAGCTTACATATTGTTTAATACTCCACAGATTTACAAGGTGAACAGGACAAGATTCATTCGTATTCCTTAATTAGTGACTGACTGTTCGATCTTCAAAGAGATGAGCTTCTTTTCAGGCTTTATTTACATGTGTCTGTGTGTCAACAAATGCACACGATGTTCACTTGCATTTAGAAAGTCTGTATAGCATTATGCTAAATACGAACAGAATCAAAGTTTCACTTGCATTCGAGTAGATTTCGCTGATTAGACAACCCAACTTGAACTGTTGAGTTTTGTTTTAACTTTACTGAAATATGCAAGCAACCATGTGAGATACAACCACTACTATCTTAGCAGTAGAAAAACTGACTAGTGTCACATATCAGGGGAATTCGGTAGACTGATAGACTACTATCTTCTCATAGCTATAACGTTATTAAGGAAGTCGAAGAAGAGTCGGATGATTTCAAATCATCATACCGTATGGAATTAGGTATTAGCTCTGAGACTAGGTATGATTAGAACTCAGACTTTTAATATTTATCCTCGTTGGCGAACCTTTCATGTCACTATTCACCCTAGGGGACTTAAAATATCCGGATGGGGAATGAAAACGATGCAATTACCATATAACCATATAAGCATCAAGAAGCAATGTGTCACTCTGATTCCAAGCTATACAATAGCTGGTCTGTATCAAACGATTCTCTGCAGGTAAAATGCGAGTTTGTTTGTGGATCTACAGTGCGCTAGAATGGAAAGGTAGAGATATTCAAGCTGGCTGGCTGGCTGGTCAACAGTCCAAACAAAACCCATTCTACCTGATAAAGCCTGAGTTATTAGACAAGTGAGTGTCATTAGGCTTCATATAATAAAGCATAAATTATCAATAATAATAATAATAATACTGTTTTTCTGCAAGTATAGGCACGGTCAACTAATCATGTCTAATTTCCCGTTCTCAAATCCAATCAACTACTGACGCGTGCGATGTAAAGTGAAATTCTAAAGCCCAGCATAACTCATGCCTATAACCTGAAACTCCTAAACAATGGTGGTATTATATATATATACTCATTATTAAAGAAGAAAAATAATAGGGAGGCATATTTATTGATTGCTTCTATTGTTTCGTTCTCTTCTAGGTAGACAGAGGATAGAAGACTGGAATGTGAAACAAACATTACACACACAATAAAAAATAGAGAGATTATTTCAAGCATCATTAACTGTCATTATTTTTTTTTTATATCTTGAATATACCTGGTTAAACATCTCTCTCTCTTTGAAGGCAATGCTTAATTGTCTACAACGGAATTATCTTTGGTGATGACTGTCTCCCTCTCTCTAAACCTATATACATATATAGATATATATATGCACATATATAAGCCCGTTTATTTCTCCATTGCCGTTTTAACTAAACGTATAATATGTTTTAGGTCAATAGGTCATTTGTGGACAGATAAAGAATCAGTGGTAGTAGTAGTAGTAATAGCAGAGCTTGGCACTGGTGGTGGTAGATGATGAGAGTGGTCAGATAGTAGTAGTAGGCAGCTTTTGTTAAGTAAAACTGATAAACAAACAGCATTGTTAATCCTCCTGTAAAAATGTCTGTTTCAGGTCTAAAACTAACTGAAATAAAATAGTTAATTGTCTGTTCCACTAACAGTGACAATAATCATCATCATAATAATAATTATGATAATGAAAACAATAATGTGAGGCAGATGTGTCATACCGACCTAGGTCCCTATACCACCACCCCTCATCAATCTTTGGGAATAGACTGTAGTTCTTCCTTCGTATTGTTGACGTTATCACTGAATATCTTCTGTGTTCAAATTTTAAAGGGAATTTTGAAGTTGGAAAAACACCGTTGAACTATCATTTATTGAAATCTAACATAAATCTGTCACACTATTATTATGAAAAAGTAGAAAGAGACGGACTAACACAAAAGTTTCTGCTTGACCTACTTTTTGCATTAAACAAACTAACTACACACTATGCATTATACTTATTCTCAAAAACACTAATGATTGATTTCCCACTGGTCATTGATTGGCATTTTATTAGTCAAGTAAGATGAATAGGATTTTATCCGTATTGGGTGTACTGAGTTCTATGAACTGAGCTCTGTGACACAGGCATTGATTGCTATGAAGTAGAAGACATTTGGTTTACAGAAAGCGCAACAATTAAGGCGGGGTTTTGTTTCATTTTTTTTTTTTTTGAGTTCTGAGTTTCGAGCTTGAGCTTTGCGGTTTCAGTAAGCAGTGGTTCGATGTATTATACGGGGAGTCAGTTGGTTGGGGATCGAACCTGGGATCAAGTATGGCGTGGGTGACGAGCATTCTTCGACTGAACCATAGTTATCCAGTCCATTCACACAGATGATGTTTATACAATATGTTGGGGATCATAGGCGGTTCAATGATGTCTGTTTAGTTATTTACAATGCTTCACGCATCATCTTTAAGTAGGGATTAGGTGGTATGATCTTGTCAAGATGGCAAACAGTCAAGCTATCACTAATCTGTTGTTTTTTTCTCGTTTGTTTCATGAGTTTATAATTATAATATTTCTGAAATATTTTGGAAATCTGTAACAAAGACAGCATATAAATCGTGTATGTTTTCTCATTAGAACGATAAGTCTCGTTTCTCCCTCGTTAAATTGTTTTTGAGCCAACGTGTGTGTACGAATCACTTCACCAGGCTTACCAGTTCATTCGTACTGGTAACCTCTAACTATCAAGATAGATTCAGAATAATTTCCAGTGTCTTTCTGCATTTGAAGACTAAGCGAATCATCGATAAGATGAGATGCGATCAGTTGTTTCACAAATCACAAATCATGAATTAGCGTTAGGCTGAGAAATGACAGTGTAATATCTCATGAATTTACCTATTCTCAGTGGAGAGTTTATGAAATGAGAAGTCAGTAGTGATATCACTCAAAGGAGATGTGTGATGAATGCAGACAATCACTTTCAGTAGAGCTCGTCATCTCTAACATTGTATTTAATCTTGGTTCATGTTAGACCTATTTCTTTTTGTATTCTCCTGGTAGACTTTGACTTCTACATCTCCCTTGATTATCCTCTTTATTCATTATTCTAAAATGTGGGAAGTCATATACCGAGTAAGCAGTGTGCAGCTTGCTACACTGTTGTCCTTCTTCACTGTCTTTACTAAACAAGTATGTTTTAGTATACTCACAGTGGTGTGTACTTCTTGTTTAATGCCTTTCAGTGACTAAGTGAAGCACAGTGCCTTGGGCACAGAATTTATTGCCATCTGAAATCCACTGTAAAACTGGAGAAACGTTTTTTTTTCTTTTTTCTTTTCAACATTGATTTGTTGTCATTGTTGTTATCGGAAGCTTGAGAGTGGAACTCCACAAGTAGGAGTTTTGCAGTGACATTTATTGTTTACCAACCAATTCACAGTATTTATCTATTGTTCGTTGCGCGGCTGTGTCACCTATTGATCAACTTATATGCTAAAACACACTGAAGCTTTAAAAAAAACGTCTCAGTAAAGTGTGTGTTTATATTCACATCCGAAAAAAGTTATTGTGGAGTACAATCCAACCTTTATTTACCAATCATGATGCTTCACTTATGACATTCAACTTTCTAGACACTGATATGAGTCAATTAAACGTGCATACGAATAATTCTGCCGCCGGTAATAATAATAATAATAGACTTTTATTTACTGAATATTAAGCCAAGAGGATGCATGTACGTTAGGATTTCTCCAGTAAATAAGCATCCAGACTGTGAATACTCGAGTGTTATGGTCAACTCAGCTGTGACATCATTTGTTACATAATGTACAATAGGTTGTTGCCTCCTCCAATATAGAATAATTGAACATGAACTTAAATGATCAGTTGAAGCACTGTTATACAACAGTGCATAAGTCCACCTCTCAGTTACATTTTGTTTTTTTTTATTATTTTTGATTATAGCTTGATTCCACACCGTATTTTTCGGTACAGGTATGGAATTTTCAGCATGTGATATCGGTAGCCCAAATTTTGCAGGCCGACCATAGATATCAGGTGTGCGTCGGCAGGGGATCGACGCCGGATCATGTGTATGATCGGTGAGAGTCATAACCGCTGTGCTACCGACGCACAAGTGCTTCCTTGTAGCACTTTCATTAGGTGACAGTAGGCAACAAGCAGTCTACCCCATATTATTATCATTATATATTTGAAAAGAGATTCATATCATTGGCTCAGTGATATTTTGGTTATTGTTGAGTTATTCTTGATGATGATTTCTCACTGCACTATGTCTATTCCTGTCTGTTTTTCCCCACTGACTGAAGTTTCCATTATAATTTTATATTTTGATATTGCAGGTTGCTAGCAGCCGGCGAGAAATCAACAATAATGATAATATTAATAATAATATGGATCCATGTTAATCCGTTCAAATTGTGTTATACTTCCTCTCTTTTCAGATCATAGGCATTATTTGTTCAATTTCACAAGATCTCTTTGTTTTACATTTTCTTACAGCTATTTGCACAACACATTCGTCGTAATGTACTACGTGTATTCAGTGACGCATCGAATTCTGTTATAAGTCAACAGCTGGGCGATTTATGGCGTACAGTGCCCAGAAGTTGTCGTAATCAGTATGATGATGAGGCTAACCGACTAGTTAAAATTCATCAGATTGAATTTCCTAATTACAAGTATCAACCGAAAAAGCGTCAGATCACATCAACTGTAAGCAGTACAACAGAACACCACTCTCGTACAGCTATTCATCATCACCATAACAATCACAACAACAACAGCCACAATAACAACAACGCCAATGCTAACATCAACGTCAGTGGAATAAATGCTAATAATACACAGTCGGTTATGTCGGTGACGATACGAGATGATCAAACTGCAACGACCAAGTTGGTCTCTACTAGTTTAATTAAGTCGCATAACGAGTACAGTACACAGTCCTGTTCTGTAACAAGTAAACCTCCATGCGTGAGTCGTGGTTACTCGTCATTGAACGGACAGGCTAGTAATTCTGTTCTAAGAAACCAAGTGAACGGTATGATGAGTGTTGGAGGCTATAGGAATAGTGGGGTAAATTTAATCAACAACTTTGAAACAAGCCCTCTAAAGCAAACCTGTAACACAATCTATGCTAAATTGGAGTCTAAGCCATTGAGTATTAATACTATTAATAGTATCAATGGTAGTATCGCCAGTAATGGTAATAATAATAACAACAACAATAATCCTATAAATAGTCAAACACTATCATTCAGGCCAAGCTCACATAGTCTGTCAGCCGTCCTTCCACCACTGCTAACATTATCTCAACATACAGGTGGACTAAATGATCAGTTTCAAAATGGAATATGCGATTCGGCTTATGCATCTGGGATAAACAGCTCCTCGTCGTCATCAGCTTCTTCACCAGCAGTCGGTGAACTGATCTCTCCTGCCAAGTCATGTTCGTCTACATCTTCGATTAACAAAACAAATAAAACATCGCCTATTCGCAGAAAAATCCACTTCATCCCTATCAGACCACAATCACAACAACTGCCACCTGTGGTTAATCAGCCTACCCGTCAACGATTTCTATCCGCCAACAATGGCACCAGTAGTATATCGAGTGGTGCTGGTGTACAAATGATGAATGGATTCCAGTTTAAATCGCACTCAGAGAATGTAATCATTTCACGGATGTCTAATGATCAAGCAAGGCAGCCACAAAAATATTCTGGTGAAGAAATGAATGAAACCATTCTGCTACACGATAATGATTTACTGACAACGGATATCTTAACACCAGTTTACATACAACTGGATCATGAAGGCCGAGGTCCCACAGAAGGTTTGATGTTCACACTGCCACCGGGTACAGCAATAATTCAGACAAATGGAGATATTGGACGCATACCCTTCCAAACAAACTCATCTCATCCATCAACAACAACAACAACAACCACAACAAGACGCATTTATATATCTAACGGAAATCGGATTATACCAACTGTGCCTAAGTCAGTACAAGTTTTACAACCGTTGAAAGTGATGAATGTCATCAATCAAAACTCGTCGTGTACAGATTCTGTCACTTGTAGTCCAGCTGTCAATTCAGAGATGCTGTCTTCCTCACCGTATAGTTGTAATTCTTCACCAACTTCTGTTGTATCACCGTTATCTGCTGATGTGTTTCTCCCAATGCAACAAGTTGAAGTCGTTTCCAGCTCTAATATTCAAAAACGAGAGTCGCCTTGCATGAATATCTATCAGTTTGATGCACAGAATGAACCAGACATGTGCATAGAGGAAGAAATAATGATGGATGACGAAAGGATGACAAATTTTAATTCACAACAGTCAGATACAATGACAAATATTATCTGTATGGACGAATGTGTGGAAGGTACGAACGAATCATTCTCGTCTTCCATTATTCCTCATTGGTCGTCTAATCTACCGACTAGTGAATCGATGGAACCGTCTTCTTCTTCTTCTTCATCATCATCTAAAATGCCGAGAATAATGACATCAGCTGCAACAACGATGACACCGACACCACCACCACCAACAACAACCACAACCATAACAAGGATAAAACTGGAAGACGATCGTCAACTGTCGCCTGGATATATGACAACTAGACTTCCACCATTGTCTGTAGATGTAATGAAATCTTCAAATAGAAATTTAATCTCATCATCATCGTTATCAACAACATCAAATCATACAACAAGTTGTATGATTAATGAAAATGATATCTCCGATACCGATTTCCCTATAACAACAGATGATAATTTCGATTCCAGTTTTGATGCAATGATGAATTCAATTGATATTACAACATTTCTACCCGGTACATTTCAATCGAATGAAGAACAGCAATTTAATGGGGATTATGATAATGAGTTAAATCGACAATTGCAGTCCACATCATATGATCTAGAATATTCTAACACCAATGAACATGCTGCGGGTAATAATAGTAGTAGTAATAATAATAATACTAGAAATAATGACAACACTGATAACCATCTAATGAAGATCGATGAATTCGACGATACTTGTCAGAGAATGACTGCATCACCATTCATTGGGGAGCATACTTCTTCAACACTTTATAGCATTAAACCTGATATTGATTTTTCGGATAATCATGAATCGTATACTAGTACTAATACTACTAATGCTACAATGAATCGTACTATGACTGTGAGTAGTAGTGCTTCATCCTCATCACAAAGCGATAATAATAATTATTTTCCACACAAACAAATGTCAAATTTATCAAAGTCTTCACTTTCACAACCATCGTCAACATCATCATCGTCATGTCTATTATCACAGGCGTCAGGTGTGCCGACGACAGCTTCATCGGTAAGAATGAATTCACTAGAAGAGATATTGAATAGTGCTCCACAAATTTATTCATCATCTTTAGCTGATTTGGATTCGTTAGATAAGTCAAGTTTATTCGTTATAAAACCTGATTGGTCTGTGGTGGCATAATAATACAACGACTACGTTGAGCATTTAAACATTCTAAATTTTTGCTAAACATGTGTTTGTTTGTTTGTTTGGGTGTGTGTATGTGTGTATGTGCCAGCGTGCGTGCGTATATCTCGTTAGTTACACATATATAACAAATGCATACATGCACAGACATACAATAATATATATTCTCTCAGCATATCTAAGTTGCATAACTCAGGTGTTTGTTCTTTTCTCGTTTCCTTATTTAAATAACATTAAAACATTTTTAAGTAAACCATTGAAAATGGTACAATTTTGCTAACTTCATATTTAATATCTTAATATCTATTCATTAAATACACATATATATATTCATTCGTACGAAATTTTCATACACATTTGTTTATCTGCATTAATATTTATAAGTATGGTGTGCAACCCGCTGGATTCAAGCATTTAACTAAACACACAGACACAATGATTCTCGAACTTTATCACTATAAAACAACTTAATTTTATACTGATAAAACACCGACAATCCTAAGTTTTCTACTTAAATATATAACACACATATTTTTCTTCTCTGAAAGTAGTATCTCTAATATTTATGTATAATATGCTGATTGCTGATTAATAACTCGTTGGATATTTTCTCTGCAGTTGAATAAAACTAATATATATTTCCTTCAGGTTGTACAGTACACACACACACTTTTCCCCTTTGTGCTTTCTTAGTTCTGTTTTGTTTTTTTTTTTTACTGAAAAAAAACTTATTTTATAATAAAAAAAACTGAAATTAGTCATACTACTTGCCAGTAAAATTTTAAATAGTAGTCGTTAGTTGTCATTAGTAGTAATGTAATGTAATGTAATGTAATGACTATTTAGTAGTATTAGTCTGTAATTGTGAGATACTGTTTGTTGTTAGCTCTATATGGTGGTGGTAGTCAGTTTTTACTTTTGGATTGAGTAGCGTACTTAGTTAGTATATTGAGGCCAATTTCTCTCCTCCCTCCCTCCCTCCTCTTTATCCTTTTTTTTGATAATGACCACTTCTTCCCTAGTTGAAGTTTATTCACACTCAATCAACTGATCATCTCAGGACAACTTAAATTCTACTTTTTCATATGCATACAGATAATATATATTCTTGGAAATTTATGTTATTGTTTTATTGTTTTTTTTTCAACACGCATTAGATGTGAACAGTAGTTTTTGAATGATCTGCCTTCATCTTTTCATTTATATATAGCCGTTAATATACATGCACATATATATGCATACATAATACCGCGATCACCTTTTATATTCCCTATGTACACTAGACATTTTACTGCCTAGAGTGCTCTTCTTTTTTTTTCGGAGTGAAGTGGTTCTATGAAGCTGTCCAGCGTCAGCGATAACTATTACAACAACAACAACAACAGCAGGGGTGATCATGGCGTGGAAGGGAGGAAGAACATCGACAGCATGGAAGCAAATGAAGCTAAGCATCATCTGTCGACTCTTTCTACCCCCTGTCTCCCCCCTCCCTCTCTCTTTGTCTCAAAAGTGTGCAAAACGCTGAATCCTCACGCATATAATATCTGGTTTCATATGCGAACAAATGCACATGAGTATAAGTCATTGAGTCATACAATCACTGATTTATTCAGTCAGTCAGTTAGTCATCCAGTCACTCACTCACTTCTCTGTTCTCTCTCTCTCGGTCTCTCTAATTCATCTACTTATTGATTCACTGATTGTTTCAGTTGTCTCAGGTGGTCCCATTTTCTACTCACTGTGGTTTACACATTAGTCTTTTATGAATACAATCTATTATTATTATTTTTTGAAAGTTTTAGGGAAGTTTTGTTTGTCGGTTTTCGTTTGTTTGCTGTTATTGTTGATGTTGTTTTACTACTTACTATATATTACTATTTTTGTCCCTTTCTCTCTCTCTCGTCTCATCTACTTCATATGGGATGAAACGAAGTGAACTCACCATTCAGGGCCACTATATCACACTGTGTGTGTGTGTGTGTGTACCATTATGGCTGCTAATATTACTATTCAATGATACTTTTTAATGGATATTTTAATTTTTGCCTCATATAAACAAAAACTATACATTTATATATATGTGCGTGTATACAGTGGTAGCTGGTAATGATGGAGAAGGAGTGAGCGGCGATCAGACTGAAGGTTAATACTACTTTTCCTGCAAGTACTACTACTACTACTACTAAAACTGCTGCTGCTACAACAGACATATTACAGACAACAATACTGACATCGACAATGTCATTTTACTACTAATAATAATGCAAACAATTGTAATGTTTTTGATGAATTTGCCTTGTTTTGTTTGTTTGATTGTTTGTTTATTTGTTTTTTTTAAAAAAAAAGAAGTGAAAAATGAAAATTAACACAGAAGAATAAAGAAACATTGTTGAACAAGTCTAGTAGTGTTCTCCCCTTCCTTCTTTCTTTTTGCGTTTTCGAATTTCTGCTATTGTGTTCTGCAACACTGTACATTGTGTGTCGAATAGTTGACGACGACTAGTCAGGAAGTATATTTCTCTTTTTTAGAAACCTGTGAGCTGTAGATGGTGTTGTTTATTCCGCCTAGTTTGCGAATCTTCTCAGTCACAGCCCATCGGAACTATTAGGATGCGACCATATTTCTGTTGGTCTGCTTAGTTGAAATACTGTGAGCAGTGACATGGCGCCACCGACATCCATTATCATTGGAGTGTGTTTGAACTCACAGTCGATTTCGTCGACTCCATTGGTCACACTATTTCTGACTAGATGTAGAATAATTCTATATCTGGAAATAGGATATTTGGAGACAAGAGAGATTTTAAGAAAGTGAACAGTTTAGAAAAGGTGATACTTGCTATTATTAAGCACTCAAGGTCTAATGATAATAATAATAACAGCTTTATTCTATGCAATATTATTAACAAAGTATAAAATTTAATTGAAATTTATATTTTCCCGTCGATTGATTGGACCGAAGTGCTCGGTCTCAGGATGACATGTCGGCTTCTTGAGCAGATGCTTCGACGATGTCCGCGCATTTAATTAGTATTTAATTGGTGGATGGTGACCAGCAGTGGACCCGTTGCACAAGAGGTGGCTCTCGTGGCCCTAGTGGTCTAGTGGGCAACGGTTTGTGCGTTTGAAACTATGGGCACTGGGTTCGAGCCTCGGGGGGAACATCATTACTCACTGGGAAATGCAGGTACATCCAGATGACGAGTCCCAAATAGGATGAAATGCGCATCCTGGATTCCACTGCTAGTCACCATCCACCAATTAAATACAGTATAAAATTCTCAGGGTGTTTAACTGCAAATAGTATAGATGACTCAGTGTTGTTCCATCGTATTACTCTTGCATTCTGATTCTCAATGATATCTTCATAGTGTGCAGTTTTGTTTCTTATATGGGCAGTTTTTTTGTACAGAGTAGAATTTCCAAACTGTTCAAATAAGCCATCCAGCATAGAAAAAGTGATTAGAAAAATATCGTCTACTCGAAATACAAAACAGATCCCTACAGACTAAATCTTGAGAATTAATCTGATTCCTGCGAGTGACTGGCCACAGGACAAAGTTGCCAGAGGTTCTAGTGAGAAGTCGTCACCAAGTGGGGTTCACCCGGTTGTCGGTAGTGAGGATGAGTACTCGCCAGCGATAACACTGGCTAATGGACGCGAGAGATTCATAAGTTGGCCTGGGAGTCGGGTCCCAGTGGCCGAATGGTCTACGAGCTTTCCTTATAACCGGAAAGTCCCGATTTGAACCCCAGTTGAAGAGTCTCAAACAGGTACGAAACACCTATTCAGTACTCCCTGGTTTTCAACGGTCCTCTAACTGACATCAATCCGTGGTGAAAATTGAAAAACAAATCTTATCCATCATCGTGCATGGCATTAAGTGTAACACTGAGGCTTTACATCTTGTGCAGGGACTGCCAACCATCTCTCCTTCTCTCACGCACGTCACCACACCGCCGGTGGCATAGCGGTTGGGACGCTTGCCAACCATGCACATGGTCCGGGGTTCGATCCCCTGCCGGCGCACTCCTTCCGCTACAAATAAGAGAAAGTTGGCATGCAAAGATGCCATATCACCTCATTGCTTAAATTTAAAGAGTGTGATATATTAGGCCTTATCTCAAACTTCAGGATGAGAATAAAATCTCAGCATTTCATGTTTGTGTCATAATATTAGCAACAGTAATTGCTTTAGGCTGCTGTATGTGATTACAGTGTTACATAAACTGAATATTTTACTTGCTGTATCAGATAAACATATCCATTATGGAGTTTGCTTGTTTGCTTAGTTTAAGGAATATAAGCATAATTTCACTGTTAAGGTATGATGTAGCAATTTTACAACTGGCCTCTTTTTCGTCGTTACCCTTTGAATGTAGTGTAAACTAGAGGTGTTAGTGCGTTTTGAGAAAGAAGCGATTCGTGAAGAACATGCATTTGACCGATATATGATATTTTGAATTAGGCGGAGGTTTTTATGTACATTGATTGGCCACTATGTGTCTAATCCTCGGGAGTGGAACATAAGGCTTCAACAGCACATCTCCATGTCACCCTGTTCTCTACAGTCATCTCCAACTGACCCCACCCACAATTGCCCATAGGCTCTCATCTTCTCCTCACACTATCTTTTGCATGTCACCCTCGAAGCGACTCTCTACTACTCGTTTCCCATTCGAGTTCCTCTTGAGGACTGGCCTTACTGACGACCGGTATCACTCGGTAGACTCCTCAGCGTGTATCCAATCTATCTCCATTTCCATTGGGGTATTTCTTGAGCAACACGTTCTTGATTGCTTCGTTCCCAGAGTTTCTTTTTGTCACTTCTTTCCTACCTGTCGTCTGATCTACATTATGGAGACAGAGAAGGCATCTGACCATTGGAAATGCCTTTCATGATGGCCACGCCAAGTTTCTCATTTATATGGAAGAATTGAATCTTGTTCTTTATGGTGAGTGCAGGAGATTACCAAACTCATTTCAGAGTGATAAGTGTCTGTGTCGCCTTTCTGATATTGGCTTGTTTTGACGTCCTCATCAATGCGGTATGCCTGTAGATGAAGTGACTCTGTCCAGATGAGTGCAGGAAGTGACTTCTTTCCGTTGATAGTGATTGGTGCTTGTTGTTGTCGGTTGGTTGGTTGGTTATCTTTACCACCTCCGTTTTCTCTGTGTTCACTTGAAGTCCTGGTTTTGCTGCCTGCCTCTTCTGCCAGTTTGTTGGTTTTCGCCTGCCTCTGGGTCTTCGAGTTTGTGTAATATTAGACGTAAATCCATCCTCGAAATCCAAATATTCTAGGGTCTTCTTGTCGTTCCAAAGTATTCGTGTCTTATGACTCCGCACTCATGGTGTTCCGCATAATCTAGTCCGCCACAATCAGGAATATCATCGCTGATAATAGGCAGCCTTGGCTTACTCCTGTATTCACTTCAGAGGCTTAGCTGAGCTTTTCCCTGTGGATCACTTGACTTATGACATTGTCATATAGCGAGCTGTTGAATGCGCCTGATAGAGATTTGGGGCACTCAGAAGTGTTGAAGTAGTTCCCAAATTACTTCACAATTATAATGCCTTTAAACATCTTTACAAAGTCAGAGAAATAAAGACAGAGATGTTACTTCCATCCTATGTTCTGTTCGATGATGATGATGCGTAGTGGTGCAGTTTGGTCAGCAAATGATTTGCCTTTCTTGAATCCAGTGGGGCGGAGTTCTGTATCTTTTAACCTCTCCAGGATGACGTAACCTAATATTTGGCTTGGCGTGGACAAAAGCATGGTTCCTTGCCAGTTCTCACAGAGGCCCAAGTGCCTCTGTAAAGTGAATACTATTAGTCAGATCTGCAGTAGCCATCGCTATGCACTCTGAATTGATGTTAGACGGCTGCAAGCAATCAACAAGAAGCTCTTGAAAGAAACTCGAATCCAAGGGGGGACATGAGTTCCTCCAAGGTTGCAGAAAAGCCTTCCTGATGAGTGCCACCAAGCACGAAACCCAGGTACATGGCCTCCTGACGATTGTCTCCAACTATCTAACATCAAGACTTTTTGTTATATACATTCTAGGCTTACTATTTTGAAGGAACAGTAGCCTCTTCATAGAGAAAGTCATCAAGTAAGTAGGTTTCAAATCAATGTGTGCTGGATGATTACATCTATAAAGAAACTGCTCAAATCTGTTACTATTATAAACCATTCGTATGTGAACAACACTAGAAGAACAGGATTTACATAACTTAAATTTCATTTCCTGGAACGGTCACACTAAAGAATTTATGAATTTATGTTAGAGTAAGCAGTTTTGTTGATTACATAACCTGAATATTTCTGCAATTAATCCTTGAAAGCGTCAACACCCAAGAGAAGAGTATAGTTCTCTTGTTTTCCCTATTCTTATTGAAGTACACTGGTTTATATAAGTACTGTTTCCTGAAACAGAGTGGAATGCCACTGATTCAATTTCCTCTAAGAAGTAGTAGGAGTAGTAACACAATATGAAGTATTTGCTTCCCGAAAAGTTCAATTTCTCATTTCTGCGCACATTCTTCCTTACAATCTTGTCTGTAATTCCATAAAGTTCCCTATCTGTCTGCTTAGTGCTGATGCATATCACTTATACAGGTTAATCCGTTCATGTTGATTGCATATTGCTTCTTCCGAGGCCGGAGTCGGTGAACACAGTTGCATCCGCAATTCTGCAATACCTACAAATCATACTTTGTAAGAACCATGTTTTTCTTAGTGGATAAAATAGACGTTTCTAGGTGGCCTCCGGAGAACAGCTAAGCCCCAAAATGAATTTCACAGTAGGTTTATTTCGAAATTAATGTCATAGGTGAATAAATACGATCTTGAATATCTTATAAAGAATAAAGTTCAAGAATATTGTCCTTGACCTTTAGCCTATATAAACAGACTGATTTTTTTAATTAAAAAAAAAAGTATAAAATAATTCGCACGCAACTTGATAAATAGGATCAACTCTTCAAGTGAAATCTCACGCTTCAATGAATGGTAGGTGGATCAGATAGGAAGTACGGTTTGTAGGGCTAAAGTGCCAACATGACAGATGAGGTTCAAGTTTTGACGAGACTAGACAAAGTTATTTGTCACTGTCTATGCGATTGCCCAGTTAATAAAAGCTTAGTTGAATCAAATTATTTTCCTACTTAGTAGTCTGTTAACACACACACACCTACATTCATACATACATCTAATAAGGGCAAGACGGTAGAATAATGGAAGATCACAACCTTGAGTAGTGATGGCATGAAGATCAGACATCCATACCTACATGCTTATATATTCATCCTGAAGGCAGTCTATATGACAAACATCTCACTGACATCAGCATTATCCTTCGTTGAACTCTACATTTCATTAGTTGCCACGATTTTTAACGAGTCAGGTGTGTG